CCCCAAAACCCCAAAACCCCAAAACCCCAAAACCCCTTTTATAGTGTCTTTGATTGAAATAATAAATGGACTCTTCTTCCGGACTCAGAGTGATCCTGATTCCAAACAACTCAGACAACTACTGTTACTACTGCTACAGTGAAAACACTCGAGATGGCTTCTTTGTTGATGTCTGTGACGCTGACAAAGCTATCCAGTTTGCCAAAGATTTTGGAGTCACTCCAAAGTATGTGCTTACCACTCACAAGCACTGGGATCACTCAGCAGGAAACGAAGCAATGGCCAAAGAGTTCTCTGGAGTAATATTGTTAACTTACTTTAGACTGATCCGATCCACATTGTTGGCGGAAGTAAAGACAAAGTCAAAGCCTGCACTTGGCCTGTTGATGATGGCGACGAGATCACCATCGGAGATATCAAAATAAAGTGAATGCACACCCCATGTCACACCAAAGGCCACACTTGCTATTATGTGACGACCGAGTCAGACATCACTGAAGACTCAGTTGATAGAAACAAAAATGATGCAACAGGGTATGCTGAAGTTGCAGGATTCAGCAAGTGTGTCTTCACTGGAGACACTCTGTTTGTTGGGACTGTCGGCAAGTTCTTCGAAGGAGATGCTGAGCAAATGCATCAAAACTTGGAGAGGCTTCACGATTTGCCTTCTGAGACTCAAGTGTTCCCTGGCCACGAGTACACAATCGACAGTTTGAAGTTTTGTCAGAAGGTAAGCATGGTTTGTTTTGAATGGTTCTTTGAATACGTACTCACCTTCTTCACAGATGGACACTCGAAACGATGCATTGGAGAACTTAATGGAAGAATGCGAGACTCTTCAGAGCGAGAAGTACCCAACAGTTCCCAGGTCAATCCAAGTGGTTAGAGAAGTAACAATATTCTGAAGATACAAAGATTCTAAAGTCCAGCAACTGGCCGACACTGACAGTGAAGTAGAAACACTAAGGGCTATTCGAGAGGCCAAAGATAAAGGGACTACTTTAGGAGTGATCTAATTGATATTCCAATATTATTCAATATCTTTAATTTTAAATGGGGTTTTGGGGTTTTGGGGTTTTGGGGTTTTGGGG